TCGTGGTTGCAACGCCCCCTCTGGACACTTTCCATTCACAGCGCATTGCTGCTGATATGCTGTACTTGCAGCCATCCGTGCATATCCGCGCTGGCGCAGGCTGGGCGCAGGGAGCAATTTACGGGCGCGGCCAGCAGACAAGTGGAGGTTTCAGACTGCCGGCCTATGGCCTAGGGCGATACAGGCAGAAGTTGTTGTGCTCAAGGCGTTGCCCAATTCTCGCAGGGTGGTTCCAGCAGAAGTGTGCCAATACATTTGCCACGCCTACTGTGCGTTGTGACGTATGCAGCGATTTCTGCTCTCCAGCTGTATTCCGTGGCCTTGTCCATGGCGCGGGCCAATCTTTCGGATTTCCCGTTCTAACGGCGCCCGGGGGTGCTGCTTTGGCCTAGCTAGCTCTTGGCGTGTCATTTGCGGCTGTCACTGTTGCGTGTGACCCCAGTTGCTGCTGCTGTTGTGGCAAGGTCTTGTGTAACATCGTTCAGTTGCACGACGTACTTGACTCTCAGGTGGCATCTTTGCGGCCATGGTCGGCTTCCAGTAGATTTACCTTGGTGCTCATTGTTTGTTAAACTTTACGTATACACCCTAACTCACTGGCAAGTAGCCTCGGTAGCATTTTCACTTTTGTGTTTGGTCAATTGTATTTGGCTCAATACTCCCCCTTTTAGCTGAATAGGCAGTGGGAATTACGAGCTATAAGCCATATACGATTGGCCTACATCATGCATCAAGCAGGGCTTCATGAGACCACCCGTGAGAAAACAAAGTTCGAAGCAAGGGACTCATTGCTGCTGTGATATGAACGTATTATCACCCAGTCGCCCTTTTACATTGTTGGGGGTTTGCCGTGTCAGCAGGTGAGTTCCCGGAACCCAATGCGTCAGGGGCGAGATGCCGAGGTCACGTGCCTGTTTCGAAAGCACCCGAGATTTGTCAAGAGGTCAGGTTGCCTTGGCGGGAGATGTCCATTGACATGCCCGTGTTGGCTCGGCTGTACTGGAGAATTTTGAAAGGGCTGTGGTCCATGCTGGGGCCCGTCGCTCCGGGTGCTTGTGTGTCACGGCTGTCACGGTGGGCTCGTAGCTCGTGCAATTGCCCAGTGTACCGCGCGTGAATCACAGGGTAGGTGGCAAGCTGTTTGGAGGACGCCGCAGACAGCGGCAGGCAGCTGCTGCAAAGGCCCATGTGTGCCGTGCTAGTGCGTGAATCTGCCCATTTTCTTCTTTCGGCCCACCTCACATCCGGGAGGGAAGACATGGCGTCAACGCAGGCAATTACTGAATTTGCCCGAGGAAAATGTTAGCTTCATCATCTCACTGTTCGAGATTTATACATTTGCGGAAATGTTCACAAAACTACATGCGCGTCCCTTTGACCTGAGCACAGCAGTGGGCACTTTGAATAGGGTGGCGGCCCAAACATCCGCCATGGCACCGGAGCCATGACCCATCATTTCACGATTCAGGGTAATATGTGCATGGATCTGAAGCCAGGTTTGGGGCGAAGCTTGCGACATGATGTGCAAGAGATCCGCCGGGCAAGTGTATGTGCGAGTATGCAGGCCGCTAAACTTCGAGGTCGGTTTGATTCGGCAAGTGTTGAGGAATTCGGCAAAGGCGCACAGGTAGCTTGCCATGCAGTGGCAACACTTCGACGAGGTCGCTCCAGTGTTGGAAAGCTCATTGTTTTTTGTTCAGCAATTAGTAACCTTTGTTCACGCCAACAGCACATAGTGCTGTGCACGGACGCGTCTTGGGAAACACGGGATATGGATGCGCCGGATTTACGGGCCATTTTGCTGGGGAATAGCCTTATGGGACCACCTAAAGCATTTCTGCCAGTCCCGCAAAACATCCTGGATGCCTGCAGGGTCGCGGCGAGGATGTTATTCCTTATGTGGATAACACAGGGATCTGCAATGCGCTCGTGCAGGGTTCCAGTGTCTCGTCCGACACTTGCTCTGGCTCCACAAGCTGCCGTGCTTTTGTGGAATACGTTCTTGCCCACCTCAAAAATTTGCGGCTCGTGTGGTGCGGAAAGAGAAATACTGTCGCTCCGCCTATGTTTTTCAAGGGCTGGGCACGAGACCAAGTTGCGCAAACGAGCGAAGCTCAAGCCAAGCTGCCGGGACTCCGCAGGACTTTGGGCGCCTGTTGGTGTGTGTGATGTTGTTGTGTCGGCCCTGGACAGGTTGCGCCCAGGCCGTCACCCAAACCAGACCCTGCCAGCTCTTGCGGCGCGGGGTTGCAGGTGTTGCAACCGCGAAAAGGAAACATTTTTGAAACATTTTAGGACGATTGTCTCGGATGTGGGGACCCCCAAAAATTCCGAAAATTTGCAATCGGGATCCCCCCCGCTCTTTCGGGCTGAGGGAGAAAAGAAAAGGGCTTCCACATTTTTCGTGTCCTGAGACCATCCAGCGCGCCCCAAGGCAGATAACATTGAACATGAATGGCAAACCTCTCCGAATAACGTGGCTTCCAGGAGCCTACAACAGCATGTGGCGAGCCAAGCAGTGAAGACGAGGACCTGCGCCGGGCTTGCCACTGTTTTCATACACACGCGCACTTGCCAAGTTTTTTATGCGGATTTTTGCAGTACAGGCTTTGCAGGACAACCTTGTGTTTGTCACTGCCATTGAAGCATATTGGCGACAAGCACGAGATCGGGGCACACATTGGATAAAGCCACAAAGAGATTCGGCAGGCCCTCGCAGAGGCGCCCGCGCCCTAACGCTCTGGACTGCAGAAGAAGCCCAGTGCAGCCCGGAAGATTTAGCCAGAAGGCTGAGCGAGATTTGCGCACTTGCAGACCATGCTGGTTCGAGGTTCTGGAATAGTTGCAAGCAGGGGACACCGTCAACAACGCATGCGCCTGTCCCCGGCTTACCTTGCGTCTGGCCACCAGCCGCTCTGAAGCTGTTGGCCCACTGAGGCCACTGCGACAATGCTTTCAAGCCGGACAGCTAGGCCAGGGCGTTGCAAACCCATTTACAGGCATGTTGTAGACATGTGTAACCATGCAGGACACGGATACCGCGGCGAGCAGCACCGGCGGGGCTTTCCATGGCGCCGAGGCCAAGGGCTTCTTTAGCTCCATGTGCAGAGCTCGCTGGCACAGTGGCACAGTGGCACAGTGGCACAGTGGCACAGTGGCACAGTGGCACAGGTCTACTTCTGAAAGCCCTGCACCGCGGGCACCAAGCTCCTCTGCGCGGGCAGGGGCCCCAAAAGCACCCCAAGTTGTGGAACTTCTTGTGTTTTGGATGTTCTGTCTGGAAGAATGGCACGACAACAAAGCGTCTGACTCTCAAATACCTGCTGGCAGGATGAAGCGGCAGAGGCCATTCTTCTGCCCAGCAAGACTTTGAACGTTTTTGCCTAAGTATCGTTTCGTCTAAGCCCGCTGCCAGGATTAGGCTACGCAGGAGACCAGAAGGCAGGAAGGGACCTTCTTCAACTTGTCTACTACTCCATGTTCTGTTCATGAATTCGGAAGGCTAGCCTGGCCGCCGCCTAATCATGCCTAATCAACACCTGCAGCACTCACAGCATTGCACATGAGCGTGTCAGGGCAAGCAGTTCCGCACAGCAAAAGGACAGTCTTCCCGGAAAAGATAGGGCACAAGCTTAATGATTTTGCATTTGTCATGTGCTAGATAGAAATCTGTGCTGCAAACACGTGACCAAACAAATTAAAGGGTACCTACTGGTGATCCAGAGGATACTCAGTGCGTTTGGCAGGCCAATCTGCGCAAGCTTATCTCACTAGTGTCTTGGATGTTGGATGCCACTCAATCCGTGACTTACCGCTGGAGACTGGGCAGTAGGCTACCATAGAATCAGCAAATCAATTTATGGCAGTATGTATCTGAGCAGAATCTTTAATCATGACGGAGGCTACCAAGACTTTATCAGAATGACAGGTCTGGTTTCTGATGCTCAGTGCAGGTGGGACTTGGACTCTGATTCGCTCCGTTAGCGGCAGCCCAGCCCCAAAACGGGGTGGCTCCATGGCAGATTGGATCAGTGTGTGCAGTCCTCAAGTTCTTCACAGTCTCAGTAGGAATTAAGGCACACGGCGCACGCCAATATGTGCCAGTGAGGATAGTAAGGAGACATAACCCACTCGAAGCAACAGCAGCTATCAGTCAAATACCACCAAGTTTCACTCTCGCAGAAGCCCGCGAAGCTGTGCTCCGTGCCTGCCGCGCAAAGATCATGCACCCACGTGGGGATTGTCCTAAATTACTGTCAATACGGGGTCCTATATTTGGGTTCCTATTATAATACGGGGCCCTATATACATTTCCCCCATTTTGGGAACAGTAATTTAGGGAAACTTCCACGTATCGCCACTTTGCGGAAGCATCTAGCAGCATGTAGCAGTAGTCTGAAGGTTGTATTTTGCACTCAGCTGGTATGTATAAGCGACAGACAGGCACCGGCTGACTCGGCTGACTCTGCAAACCCCAACCCGTTTAGCACCCAGAGCTTGGCAAACTGCAGTGGGCAAGCTGAGATTTGCGCTGCTGAGGGGACCGTGTGTTCTGCTCGTCACCAAGTGCGGCATGGGCGCGAGGATACCGCTCAGCTGGAAAAGGTGGGATGGAATTCATATTGCATGGGGTCTGACAAGAACGGGAGATAGCGGGAGCCTTTTCAAAATGCATCTGTGTGGTATTCGTGACTTGTGCCAAGCATCTGTCAGAATTGGCCTCGGACGTCGTGGCGGATGCGGCAAAAGAGTGCTGAAGCACCTTGGCACCTTTGTTTGATTGGCCTTCTTTGTGCAGATTTTCTGTAATATGTAAAATGTTGCGGCATGTTACTGCCAATTGTGTGCTATTTTGCCCTGTACTTGTATCGCTTTCTTGTTGCTGGTACTCTGGTGGCTGCACGGTCTGCTTTCGCTGATTGCGCATGCTACAAAAAACCCTCACCATCCTGCATGGATCTGAAAAGTGTGAGGCTGCGTACTTTGGTGTTCTTGGGGAAGGAAGGGCAGCGTCGGTCAGTCCAAGAGTCCCTGGGTCCGTCAGCCGTCGGTTTGAGGCACCTTGGACCTTGACTAGGCAGTCGTCGCCTCAAAAAACCTCACTATAAAGAAGTAAAAGCCCAACACAACCTGACACCACAAACTTCGAACATGGACAGCTAAGCTTGGGTCCCCAGCCCCTAAAACCTAGATATATAGACCTTGACAACCCATCACCGTAAAATGCAGATAATTCAGGACCCCAAACCCTAATCCAAAGAACGCCAAAGCGGTCTGTAGCGAGCTCAACAAGAGAAAGCCTGCCATGTTGGGCCGTTGGCCTGACATAGCCTGCAAGCGTCATTGGGCATCTGGATGAATATGGTGCCTGTTCGTGCCTGTGTATGTAACCTCTCCTAGTGCGCGGACTTCTCCAAACATGCATCGGGCTGGCAGGGTGGCTGACAATGACGCTGTTGTCGCAGCATGCAGCTCAGGGATCTGTATCAGGCTGAAGCAGAGCCACGCCGGTCATGTGCCAGTATCCGAGCAGTTTTAAATCTCGCGCAGCGCATAGTAGTACTGCTGTGTGCTTCACATCAAGCAGTGCATGACTTGCTCGCAAACGAGCCCGAGGCGTGCGTCGTGTCCGGAAGGGACATGCGGGAGCCAACCAAGCCTTTGGAAGCGTTCGGTGCTAAGAGAAAATACTGCATAGATCCGCAGAGACAGAACTGATTCCACGGTGGTGATACATTGTTTTCTGTCACATGCCGGTGTACTTCTATAGTAGCCAAAAGCTGCATTCGGCATCGAGGCGAAGTAAACAGGTCCAGACATGTGCATTCACGTGCTGCCGTTTGGCGAGCAGAGGCTTCAGCTGTACCTCAGAGACCACGCAGATTCTTCAGAGGCAGTCTCTGCTGTGGTCCGGGTTGGGGTTTGTGGTCATCCTTGCTGCCTGCGGCCTGCCATGTCACTCCTGCCGTGCCTGAGGCCGACTTTGAAAATCTACCTAGCGAGGACTCGTTGCCTTGGCCTCGAGACTTTCGATAACAGATCGTGCATCACCCGCACGCGAGATGATGCAGTCTTTTAAATTCGGCTCTCATATTAACGGGTTTCCAGATTTTAGGGATATCCGTTTTTGACAGTCCCTCTTATGAGAATTCGAGTATTTTTGGGTCTATATTGGAGTCCAGCTATTTGTTTGTAGAAATTACCATGTGGCCCATGTAGTGTAGCAAACGTCATGCGCTTCCCTAGCCTGGCATTCGCCCAGGTTGTACAAGAAACAGGAAGACGAAGCAAAGAGCAAGCACGTTGCTCAATTGTTTCAACGTTGGTGAGTGTGCGGCTTGTGCTACCGATTTCGAGCTATTCTCAGTGATCATATGGTGTGGCACCGATGGCCATGCTTGCGCGCTTCAGGTACGAGGAAGACATGGATGCATTTCGCAAGCAGGAGCAGCTGTGTTGAAAGCTGTAGTCTTGAAAGTCGTGACTTGCCAACTTTCTGGACTGGTCACAGAACTTGAGGGCAAAGCGAAGTGCTGTGCAATTGAACAGGCAGAAAAATCATCGCGTGTCACACCAGCCTGTCCGGCAGGATGTTGAGGAAGTGCTGCTTGGCAGCACCGGCGGGGCGGTGACACGGATAAAAGTCAGCAGGGTGCCGAGTGGTGTGAGAACTGGTATCTGCTAGTCACTGCTAGCGGCTGTTAACCTGCAGTTGCTTCACACCAGGCACAGTTCCCGTTGTGGCCAGGTTACTGAGAGGCTGCTTTTGCGTTCCTTTTTTGTGACGTGGCCGATGATGTGAAGTGTGCAGGCCGGGTGCTTGCCAAGACGAAGGGCCCTGACCGGATTTGTGTGGTCGGCATCCCAAAGACACCAGCAGCACACGTATTTCTGCACACGCACGTGCCGCCTTGGCCTGGATTGAGCGTGTCGGCGGCTCGCATGCACGTGAAAGTGCTGCACATCTGCCCGGCAAACGCTGTGCAAACGCTGAGCTGTTGCGTCACCTCAGCCACGTCCGGCCTGCCAAATCAACAGCTGTTTCAGGACTGTTTCAGATTAAAAGGACGTTCAGCGAACTGAGGATTGCTGGAATTATTGAAGTTTCAGCGAATCAATATGATAGTGACGTGATTGAATATGATTGAATGAGGAGATGGACTCGATGACCCAATGGCGTGCCTCACAGAGAGAGGTGCTCCATTCAATGGATCATACTTCGTGGGCATTGGGGACGAGGATGTTACAGCCCCTACGCTGCCAGTGATCCCGTTACCCTGTCACAACGATTGTAGCAGGTGCTTGAGCCATGTTGTCACATGGCCGATGGCGTGTCATCCTTGTGGGGGGGGGCATGTGAACACTCCTCTTGGCAGTTGGGCATGTGCGGGATTGCCGCACCTCTTATGCCCGGCTGCGAAAATCCGCCTGCACAACTGCCACCTAGGCAGAGCCATATAAGCTGAGCCATCAGCTGCAAACCACAGCATACGTTGGGTCCTTGACCTCTTGCCTACAAGCCCCATATATAGTTACTGGTCTCCTGCGGCCCACTTCTTTTTCTGGATAATTCCTTTGGTACCTAGCCCCAAAATGCAAAAAAGCAACTTATTCACAGTCCATCCGCTGGCTCAGCAGCTACTCGCGTGCGTGTACTTGATACCAATATCTCAGCACTGCCCAGGACGCCCTTTCTGCAGGAATCGTGTGCTCCCACATACGCTTGCTTTTGCTCCACAGCTGATGCATGCTACAGCCAGCTTGTTCTTGCCCAACATCTGGTCAGGCTGCATGCAGGGATTCTCTGGGATTCCTCCATTTATCGAGCAACCAAAATGTCATCTACACGACCGTGGTCGCATGTGGTCGCGCAAGTACGAGCAACGCATGCCACACGGTCTTGTACGTGTTGACTGCACATACAGCACTCAGACCCTTCAAGAGACTTGCAATGCGAGCACTATTGTCACGGTGCAAGGCTGCTGGAAGGATGCACTTCAGAGGGTGAAGTTCCTGACCTTCGAACCAAATTCATGCCTTACTACACTCACCTCAATCTCAGCTTCGAATTTGCTGAAAGCCTTGCCTTGTCGATGGGTCTACCAAACCCTGGCCCCTACTTGAGAACGATTCCGGTTCGCGCCCTGGACCAATGAGGTATCGCTCTATATATACATATATATATATATAGATACTCATATACAAATACACGCCCATATAAGCGCAGTGTGTCCTGGAAGAGTTTGGTCTCTATCAGGTATCGCAAAGTCATGTGAACTATATAGTAGCTACAGCCGCCAATTTGGAGTAAGTTCGACTCATCCTGAGAATGAGTGCGCTCAAGACAGATACCAGGTTTCATGGTCCGTGCTACAATTGCACTTGATACTCGTGAGCTTCTCCTGGATGTACTCTAAAGTT